GAACAAAAAGCTTGACCCTTAAAGTTAATTTTAAAGAGGGACTCAAACTCATAGGACACTCCCTACCCCAGATATCTCTTGGAACGATCTGTCTCCTATAACTATGCTGTTGGAACTGTCTCTTGAACCCTTTTCTCTAGAACTGTGTCCGTCAGGTTCCCCCCATAATTTTATTAAAATTGGTTCCCCAACTTCAACGGGGAAAGTACAAGCTTGGCTTTTCATCCTTAGGGCTACAATATCTCATTCACCCAAGGCCACTGGTCCTTCCCAGTCTTCATTGTGTGCAGTAGAAATACATGCGCTGCCTTTAAGTGCTTTCATATGTTAATTCGCGAGCATACCCACATTCATTTATTATCTTTTTAGATGGAGTACCACATTGAGATTCCCAGGAAAGGCAATCAGGTGCCCAGATCACAAGACACAGCACATGGCTTTGCTAGGGTCAATAAAAAGTCACTAGTCCAGATTGCATCCATTTTATAAAAGCCATTCCTGTGCATGTGTGAGTGCACGTGTATGCATGTGTGTGTCTATATGTATGTAAGTATGTGTACATGCATATGTATGTGTGTGTGGATGAATGCGTGTGCACATGTGTGCATGTGTGAGTGCATACATGTGTGTGCATATTGGACAGCTATGACCAGGGGTCCATCTGTCTCTGCCTCCTCAGGGATGGAATACAAGGATGTACCATCATACCCTGATTTTTTACATGGGTTCTGGGATCTAACTTGGGTTCTCAAGCTTGTACAAGCACTTTGCCAAATGAGCTGCCTCCCCAGGCCTGTATCCCCTGTACTTTACCAGGGAAAATAATAAATGGAATGGGTATGGAATGGGTTGAAATGAGATGAGAGAAAAAGACGGGACACCCGAGGGGTGGTGTGGATGAAACAATGTCACTGTTTCCGCCCCCCAGTGACACAGAGGAGCAGAGGTGACCTGATTTAACACAGGGAACATCCGTCACTGTGTTCCCCCCCCACCCAGTGACACAGAGGAGCAGAGGTGGCCTGATTTAACACAGGGAACATCCGTCACTGTGGTTCCCCGCCCCCCCCCCCCGTGACACAGAGGAGCAGAGGTGACCTGATTTAACACAGGGAACATCCATGCTAACAGGTTTCCCTCAGTCCTCTCCTTTAGTCTTAACCATCATTGGTTAATTAATCAGCAGCAGCTAATTAATCCCAGTGGGCAGGGGTCCCAGAGTCTTGGCACAATTAATGAGCATGTGTCCCTACAGGACAGGAGTCCTGGTTCCCTCCTCCATGCCCCCTTCTATCTCCAGTGCCACCGTAAGGGCAGCTAACTTTCTGAACTACAGCAGAACAATGTTGGTGGGGTGTGGTCAGTGCTTGGCTCAGGAAGCGGCCCCCTTTGGTTACAGTGCAGCTCAGATTATATTGTTCTAAGCACATTATTTAACCTGCCTGTGTTTCCTCCTCTTCATCTGAACTTAAGGACAGAGTACAGAAATCATATCCAGATAACACAGTTGATGCAGAGCACTGTGGGAAGTGCACAGCCAAGTTCACATCCACATTGCTGTGGATCCCTTACTTCAGTAAGGCTTTCACAGAGGCCCAAGGCCTCGATTTGCTCTTGGTTTTCATCCTGCAGCTCAAGTAGAGGCTCCAACCAGGCCACAAGCTCCTCATGATGGAGAAGCCCTGACTACCAGGGGATGAGCAGACTCTGACCTGACCATGGTAAGTCCTGAGATTTTTTTATCCTCCTGTATCCCATCAATCCCCTAAATCTAACAGTGGAGCTACCTCAAACACATACTATGGTAAGTCCTGAGATTTTTTTATCCTCCTGTATCCCATCAATCCCCTAAATCTCTTAACAGTGGAGCTACCTCAAACACATACTATATTGCCCTGAGCAAATTACTTAACCTGTCTGTGTTTCTGTCTCTTCACCTGAAAAGAAAAGATTGAACATAGTGATTGTGCTTTGGTTATACAACTGATGCAGCCTGCTGGAGCACCAGAGAGAAATCAAACAGGCCCGAAAATCAAGGTCTGGCATCACTAAGTAGGTAGTGTTGGGCAAGTTCATTTAAACTTTGAAACAGTTCGTCTTCTGTAAAGGGAAGATAATGCTTAGATAGTCAGGAGTTGTAGCACAAGGCCTGGTGTGCAGAAAGCACTCCGCAGATGAACACGCAGTGGTGACAGGGACATAATCATTGGCCAGAAGGCGGATTTGGCATCCTGTTCCCTAAATCTTCCAGTCCATGGCTAGATCTTTGGTGATCAGTAGAGAACCAATGTGTCCATGAACATGGAATTAACTGCAAAAGAGTGCAGTAACCCTTGAATTTTGGTCTCGGAAACCAGATTAGCTAAAAGAAGAAATGTTTGGGAACAGCAGAAGAGAGAAGTCAAAGGATGACAGAAAGTGAAAAGCTTCAAATTCTCATACAGCAAATCCCAAAGTCACCAGGAGATGCTGGAAGAGACTCGAACACTTCATAGCTGAATAAGAAACACTTAGGTAGTTTTAGTGACACAAAGTATGGTGTGCTATGAGATCATATGGAAGACATATTACATTAAAAAAATAATCAAAATAAAGGTGATTATATTTAAGGGATAGGAATTAATGTAATCAGGAGGGCCACACAAAGGCTTTTAGGATTTAAACACTTAACAATTGCTCAAACAATTAACACTTAAGTATTTAAAGTTCAACAGAGGAATAAAACCTTTCCCACAGAGAGAAAAGGAAAAGGAGGAAGGAAAGGAGGCAGGAGACTACACAGGCCAGAGGAGGAAGACCAGGGGCTTCTACACACAAGCAGGACCTGCAGCCATGCACATCAGCCTGCAGGGATCCTGCCTCTCTCTGCCACAGTGGCTGCCACTGCCCAGCACCTCCCAGGTCCTTCTGGACCCAGCTCTCCTCCTCCACAGCACTTCCTCCCCTCCTGCAGGAAGCACTCCCTGCTCCCCGACATGTGGTCCTCTGCTCTGCAGATCTGCCTCTGACCACCCAGGAATTCCACCTCACTGCCCTCAGTTCTCAGGTCTTCTGTGGAGGTTCAGTGTCCTCCTGGGTTTTCAAAGGCACAAGACTGACCTCCCTCCAGTGCATGAGCTCAGACACATGATCTGTTCATGTTGGCCAATGTTTGAAGCAGATCTACCCCTTAGTGTCACTTAGTATGACTGCTACAGAGAACAGTGTCAGGAGAGCTGTGCACAACACATGACTCTTGACTGGATAATGTACAACGTTAATCCTGTGACAGACGTTACTGGGAAAATTGAGAAAGTAGGCATGTGATCTGCACAGTGGATAGCACTGCTCTTATCAATCATAAATTCTTTAATTGCTGTGGAAAGTTTATGTAAGAGACCATCTTGGAGAAAATCATACTAAAAATGAAGGACAAAGGGATGGGGTGTGAGCAACTTGCTCCCAAATAACTCAGAAAAAAAAATTGATAATATGTAAACATGTTAATAGAAACCAGCAACAGATGCATAAGAGTGCTGAAAAATAATACTAAATAACGTTACACATGAGTCACTGGAACTATCTTTAATCCTTTCTGTAAATTTGAATTTACTTTAAAAGATTTGAAATTAAATATGAATGAAATTAATCAAGAATTAGGCAAGACCAGAACTGTATTTGAATGTCCCAAATTAAACATAAAGATGCTGAAGCAGGAAGACCTCAAGTTGAAAGCTTCCTGGGCTGTATAGGTAAGATGAGGCCAGTCTCAGAGACAACATAATCCTGTCTCATAAAGGAAATTAAGAAAGAAAAATGTATTTAAGTTACTAAATTTCATTTTATTTGAAAAGGTAAAAATGAAGTGCATCTATTTCAGCTTTTCATTTCCAAGCCTCAAGGATTTTTTAAAAAAATTTTTAAACAGGATCTCACCACATAGCCCAGGTTTTCTCAAACTCACAAGTCCTGCTGCCTGAGTCAGCCCACTGCTGGGGTCACCTTTCCTTAAAGGACTTGTGTCATTATAAAAGAAAAGACAACAATCACTGTGAAATGGACCCTGTATTTGTATTAACTTCTTCCATGTTCCTAAGATGGAAAGTTGAGGAACAAAGTGTTTTCAAATGAACGGAAAACTTTTCTAGTTTAATATGTCATAAGGATAGTTTTTATAGAAAAAGATCACTCTGGGGCTGGAGAGCTGGCTCGGTGTTTAAGAGGATTAGCTGCTCTTGCAGAGGACCCAGGTTCGGTTCCCAGCACCCACATAGTGGTGAACAACTGTCCACAACTCCAGTTCCAGGGAATTTGACACCCTCTTCTGACCTTCGTGGGCATTGCACAGTATGGGTTCACTCACATACATACAGGCAAAATACTCAACAAATGAAATAAAAATAAGTCAAAAAAATTTAAAAGAATAAGATCACTCAATTGATCCCTCAGGGAATTGAGTCATTTCTTGATGGGGGAAATCTCATCCACAGGGCATAGGTCAGTCAGTGGCCAAATCTTCTGTACAAGTGTCCTGCAGACAGAATGAGGCAACTACCAGCAACATCACACCCACAGTTAGAAAATGAGACCAGCTCTGAACTGACAGTAGTCATCAAGTCATTAACCCAACCACACAAGTTTTTATAATTGCCAAGAGCAGTAAGGGAAACTCAATAGGTGCAAAGTGGTCAGACCATAGCCGGTGCTCAATAGATGCTTGCCACAGTGACAAAAACTTAAGTGATTAGTGCATCCGTGTTTTTCATCAGCATCCTTTGCCCTCAGCCAAGAAGTCAGAGGCAGCAGTGTGAGGATCCACCCATTCTCCAGCACACTCCTGGTTTCCTCATGGACACTAGACAACATTTGACGAGGAGGAGGCAGGACGTGAAGGAGTTGCTTGGTGATGCACCTGGGAGAGAGAGGGAGAAGAACATCCACCAGGAGCGTCCTGACTTTTACAAGACAGCTTGGGGCACATTGTCTGACAGCCTCCTCCCTCCACCTGGACAGGAAAGGCCATGGTCAACCAGAGCTCCACAGTGGGCTTCCTCCTCCTGGGCTTCTCCGAACACCCACACCTGGAAAAGGTTCTCTTTGTGGTCGTCCTGTGCTGCTACCTCCTCACCCTCCTGGGAAACACACTCATCCTCCTGCTGGCCACGCTGGACCCCAGGCTCCACTCCCCAATGTACTTCTTCCTCTCCAACCTCTCCTTCTTGGACCTCTGCTTCACCACCACCTGTGTCCCCCAGATGCTGGTCAACCTCTGGGGCCCCACAAAGACCATCAGCTTCCTGGGCTGCTCTGTCCAGCTCTTCATCTTCACATCCCTGGGAACTACAGAATGCATCCTCCTGACAGTGATGGCCTTTGACCGCTATGTGGCTGTGTGCCAGCCCCTGCACTATGTCACCATCATCCACCCCCACCTGTGCCGGCAGCTGGCAGCTGTAGCCTGGACTATAGGTCTTGTCCCTGCACTATGTCACCATCATCCACCCCCACCTGTGCCGGCAGCTGGCAGCTGTGGCATGGACTATAGGTCTGGTCCCATCCATACGACCCTAATGGCTGTTGCCAGTGTTGTCATCTTGGTTGTTCCTCTGAGCCTCATCCTTGTCTCCTATGCTGCCATAGCCCGGGCAGTGCTGAGGATGAACTCAGCAGAGGCATGGAAAAAGGCTTTGGGGACCTGCTCCTCCCACCTCATTGTGGTCAGCCTCTTCTACAGCTCAGTCATTGCTGTCTATCTACAGCCCAAAAATCCCTATGCTCGTGAGCGGGGCAAGTTCTTTGGTCTCTTCTATACGGTGGGCACTCCTACACTAAACCCTCTTGTATACACCCTGAGGAACAAGGAGGTAAAGAGGGCGTTCTGGAGGCTGCTGGGGAAGGATGGGGACTCCCGTGAGAGCTGAGAGAGAAATAATTAGTGTACTTTCCAAATTAAAAGGAATTTAACCTTTTATGAATAAAATTGAGCTCCCAAGTTCACTTTCTGTTTTATACCTATCCAATCTACAACAGTGGGTCACAGGTAGTTATAGGTTGGGGTGGGGGTAGGGTTAGTGAGAAGGAAGAAAAAAGAGAGGTATCTGTTTATTTTAACATAAAACATTCTTACTTGGACTTGGGAGAGGTTCATGAGTCTCAGGAAATTTAGGGAAAAAGACTTAGAAAACCCAGAAAGATCATGAAACTTTCAGAACTCTAGAGATCCCTCCTGGGGTGATATAAGCAGTAAAGAATTCCTGGGAAGAATTCCTGCTCCACTGATCTAGCCCCATGCATGCCATGCACTGGACTCCAGTGAGACAGCCTTCAAGTGTCATCACCATGCTGGGGTGGTGCTTCTCAGTGAAACAGCTGCTGATATAAACCATCAATCATGCTTCTGTAGCTGTGACAATAAACTCAGTGACTAACCAAGCTGGACTTTCATGGAGTAATTTCTTTGGTCTAACACTGGGGCCCAGTGGGTGACTACATGTTTAATTCCATCTCCCTAGAACGTAGGGAGGAGAGAGAGAGAGAGAGAGAGAGAGAGAGAGAGAGAGAGAATTTTTAATTCACATACAAAATGCAAAAATACTAATATTTGCTATCCATATGTTTGTTTTCTTTTCCATCAGTTGTTAAATGTGTTCATTTTGTTTATAGATTCCCCAGGTCCCATTTCTGGTCCAACTGTCCTAAAGCCATCATCTCCTTACCATCTGTCTGTCTGTCCGTCATTACCAGGATTCTTTATCTTTGATGACGCTCACACACAATGATTTCTCTTGGGTTACTAGCAGTTTCTTAGAATGAGCTGAGATGTTCCATCTGGTAATCTTTCAGGTGCATACTGTTGCCTTCACATGATTGTCAAATACACTGACATTAGGAATTAATCCACATGGTTTATTGGGCAGAAAGTTCCACTGCTTTAGGCTTAGCATCCAGCTTTCTAGGGATCACAACACCAATCCTCCCAGTTCCTGAAGATGTGTTCCCATTTCTCTAGTTCACTTTTCTTTTCATATGCTCAGCTTCTCCAGCAGACATTGGCCAATGGTAGTCATGGGTCTGTGTTCTGCTGCTAAGCAATAGACGACAGCTGTCTTGCATTCACCTTCCAGTGGAAGTGTGGGATTCTTAACTAAACTCCAATGGCTAGGTATAACAATGAACTCAGATGGTACATGACAAAGTGCTTCAGTGGAGCAAGGAAGAAAAAGGGCCTCAAGCCTGGTGTGGTGGCGGTGTGTGTGTGTGTGTGTGTGTGTGTGTGTGTGTGTGTGGGTGAGAGAGAGAGAGAGAGAGAGAGAGAGAGAGAGAGAGAGAGAAAATTTTTAATTCACATACAAAATGCAAAAATATTAATATTTGCTATCCATATGTTTGTTTTCTTTTCCATCAGTTGTTAAATGTGTTCATTTTGTTTATAGATTCCCCAGGTCCCATTTCTGGTCCAACTGTCCTAAAGCCATCATCTCCTTACCATCTGTCTGTCTGTCCGTCATTACCAGGATTCTTTATCTTTGATGACGCTCACACACAATGATTTCTCTTGAGTTACTAGCAGTTTCTTAGAATGAGCTGAGATGTTCCATCTGGTAATCTTTCAGGTGCATACTGTTGCCTTCACATGATTGTCAAATACACTGACATTAGGAATTAATCCACATGGTTTATTGGGCAGAAAGTTCCACCACTTTAGGCTTAGCATCCAGCTTTCCAGGGATCACAACACCAATCTTCCCAGTTCCTGAAGATGTGTTCCCATTTCTCTAGTTCACTTTTCTTTTCATATGCTCAGCTTCTCCAGCAGATATTGGCCAATGGTAGTCATGGGTCTGTGTTCTGCTGCTAAGCAATAGACGACAGCTGTCTTGCATTCACCTTCCAGTGGAAGTGTGGGATTCTTAACTAAACTCCAATGGCTAGGTATAACAATGAACTCAGATGGTACATGACAAAGTGCTTCAGTGGAGCAAGGAAGAAAAAGGGCCTCAAGCCTGGTGTGGTGGCGCATGCCTTTAATCCCAGCACTTGTGAGGCAGAGGCAGGCGGATCTCTGTGAGTTCAAGGCCAGCCTGGCCTACATAGTGAGTTCCAGGCTATAGAGAGACCCTGTCTCACAGAAAAAGGGCATGCCTCAAGAGGGAAATGGGCTGAAGTATATCCAAGTCTGTGAGATCCTATTCCCTTCACAAAGTGTGTCCACCCTCATTACCTTCTCAAACTCTCACATGAACTGGGTGAAGGATAGGATGGAGTATCTGTTCAGGACTGAACCATCCGTGCTTCTTTCCTTGAATTGTCTCCTCTTTCCACACTGGTGGGAGTAGGGAGAATTCCAGAACTCAGAAAGTTCATGAAACTTACAAGACTCACAGGCCTCTGCTCAAGGTAATAAAAAAAAAATGCTGGAGAAGAGGATACTATTCCAGAAAGTAACCTGCAAGTTGGGCTGGAATCTCCAGGGATACAGCTTCCAGGAGGCATCACCCTCCCTGGGATGGCCTTCTGGGTGATGTAGCTACTTTTGAGTCACCCATGCTCTCTTGTAAGTAGCCATCCAGATGAAACCAGGACTGTCAGTCATCCAGGCTACCTCGCATTTCTAGAATCTCAAGAGTTGAGGCAAAAGAAAGACTAAAGCCTTTGGGTATTCACCTCAAGGCAGTTTTTTGTTACTGCAACTTTGTTTCATTTATTTGTTTACACATGTTGGGAATAGAACCCAGGGCCTATGCGTAATAAATAGGGGCTGGAGAGATGGCTCAGCAGTTAAGAACACCGGTTGTTCTTGAGAAGACCGGGTTCGAATCCCAGCACCCACATGGCAGCTGACAACTGTCTGTAACTCCAGTTCCAAGAGATCTGATGGCCTCTTCTGTCCTCTGCGGGCATTGCATGACACAAGTGCACTTACCTATATGAAGGCAATACATGCATACACATAAAATAAAAATAATAAAATAAAATATTTTTAACGTTTCATAAATATTTTAATCATTCTTTTAATTTTTAATAACC